TTTTTTTTTTTCCTGTTCAAAAAACGGCAACAACAAAAATGTCCTTCTTAGTGCTCCCCTAGTCTCCCTTAAAGTTGGAATTTACCAGTCAATTATTCAGCAGTTCAGTAATCACTCCAGGTAATTCTGGGCAAAAATCTGGGGTGTATGGGGGAGTTCTGAATGCTCAGAATTCAGCATCTACATTTATCAAATTTGTTGACAAAATTTCTTAATTTTCCTTTCCCTTTGTGCTGTGTAAACACAGTCAAAATAATTCTAATTTCCTGGATATTTTTAAAGATCTGTAAGTAACTTCACATTTAAAAAAATGAAATAATTTTTAATTTAAAGCTTCTCATTCTGTTTGTTAATTTGCCCAGAGAAAAGTGGTGTTTTTAAAGAAAGGCACATGTAGAGAAAAGCACACTGTGGAATAAGTGAAATGGATACTACATCTTTAAACAGTATTTCTTCATTGCCTGTGTATGTGTATGGAACAAACAAAACCATTTGAAGTGTACCTGTGTACATAACTCTGTAAAGACACTGAAAAATTATACTAACTTATTTATGTTAAAAAGAGATTTTTTTTTTTAATCTAGACAATATACAAGCCAAAGTGGCATGTTTGTGCATTTGTAAATGCTGTATTGGGTAGAATAGGTTTTTCTTCTTTTCTGTTAAATAATATGGCTGTGCTTATGAGGTTGCATACTGAGCCAAGTATAATTTTTTGTAATGTGTGAAAAAGATGCCAATTATTGTTACATATCAAGCAATCAATAAAGAAAACTTCCATAGCTAGTCACTGAGTTGAGCTGTAATGTGCTTTACTAAGCTTGAGGTGTTTTATCTGGCATTCTAGTCATATTTATACAAATATAACGTGAAGAAACAAATATCTAGATGATTTAGACCCACAACTCAGGTGGTGTTTTTTTCTGAGTCCGAATATAGTGAATAGTCACTATTTTCCACTTACTTCTGTATAGGAGGACAAAGTGGAAAAGCCACATTTTCATATAAACAAGACTGTCGAAGTCTCCATTAGTTAAAATATTTATGTCTTCTAGGATATGAATGTATCAGAACCCCAAAAATCTTTACATAAGTGTAGAATGATCACACATTTGCAGGATTGAAAATGAAAGTAACATGGTGACTTCTCTAAAATCTGTATTTACACATCCAAAGTGTTGTCAGGAATTAGTGCGATTGTTCAGATGATCTGCAAATCCTGTCCAAAATATTCAAAGATAATGGTCGTTTCG